TGATGTCAAAAAGAGGAAGAAGCGATACTTGAAATACGTGGATTTGCGATATGATTTAAAGTATCCAATTTTAGTTGCGACAAGAACTTGTTTTCTGTATTTTATCGTCCCACACAAAACGAACATTTTTCTGTGAGTTGCTTTGCACTTTATGCTGCTGCTGCTGCTGCTGCCGAATCGTATACCTCTGTTGCGTTTCAAAATGACACGAACAAATGAAATATAAAAAACAAGAAGCATCACGAGAGTTCGATCGACATTTTTCATTCATTAAATATCGTTGTCGTCTTTTTTCGATAATTGTTGTTATTTTGTTCTTATTTTCGAAAATGATGCGCGTCAACATATGAGGATTATGCGTATCGCTAAGTGAATATGCTCAATATCCGTTGAATTCGGTGAAACATATTTCGTCTTCGATTGTATTTAGGTGTAGTCCACCTTTCTTTAAATCATATTCATATGGCTGTAAATGGTTTTCATGATCAACGTCTGCTGTATCATATGCACTGCGTCAAATTATCTTATTCTCTTCGACACTTCTTTCTTTTGTCGCGACATTCTTCGATTGATACTGTTGTGACCATTCGATTTCAGCTTACATATCCGCTCTCGAGTATGATGAATTGGTAGCCGTGCCGAGCTCATTTTCATGTTGTTGTTTCATTCCATTTCGATAAATGTTGGAAGTGTTTTTTTTTCTGATGAAAGATTAACAAAAGACACACACAACGCACAAAGTCAAATTGATGAATAATCCGAATGAGATGGAATCTAAGTATGTTTTTCACTCGTTTGAATGCGAATGAGAATATTGTATCCAGGTAGAACGCAAACAAGGTCTGATGTAATGTACTCTTTTTTTATCGAAGTAATCCGGAGTGTCTCCTGAACCGCAGCTCCACTTTTGATTACATGCTTTTTATTTGGATTAATTCAATTAATATGACAATCGAAGAATTTCGATATGGATTTTAAATGTACTTTTGGTGTGGTCTATGACTGTCATGACGTTCGTTATGATTTTCAGATATTATTAATTGATGCGGCGCTCAACGCTTTTTTCTGTTGAGTAATGTTATCGCTTGTGGTCGGTCATTTCATTCACCCAACGAATTAAAACAATCAGTGAAGAGGACCACATATTTTAAACTAATATAATTTCGTCTGTGATTTCGACCATCTAAATTTCGAATGGCATTCTGAATATTCCATCATTTAAAGTTTGGGTTAATGTCAGCTAATGTCAATGAACCAATTTCAAATAATATAAATTCGAAACGATTCCATCCAATTTGATCCTGAATTGCCAATTTCAATGACTCGCATCAATCTTTCGAAATTGGCTCCTTTGTTTTACCATCATTGATTCCGTATATGGAACAACTAACCACATTCTTGTCGCATTCTTCTCATTTAACTGACATTCGTTTTTCAACGTGCTGTAGAGAGCTCTCTGTTCCAATTCTAAATTAAAATATCTCGATGTTGTTAAAGTCAATCAAAATTATATTCGCTTATTTATTACACGGAATTTCGCGCTTACGAACTCAAGGCAATTTTTGCGATTTATCTCCAATGTTCGAGCGACAGAAAACTTTTACCCTAAAAATGACATTGATCGATACCGAGCGCATTGTAGCAGCGTACGCACAGACGTTTCGTTAGTCTCTCTCTCTCTCTCTCTCTCTCTCTCGATAAGAAGGGTGTCGGATGGAGAGACAATTGTTGATATCATACAAATCAAAATATAATTAACGATTTCCGCTTTGGAGCAGCTTTGCATTTCGTTTGGTAGCCCATTTCAAAGATTTTTTGGCATATTTAAATGACCGATGAAAATATTTTAACGAACATCCTCACGATGATAGCGATAACATTTTTTCGTATCCTGACACTATGACGCCTTCGCTTGGCTTTGATAAATTGCTTGAAAAATGCAATCGAGTCCATTTTTATGGAAAGTTTCAAGACTTTACAAATTTCGACACATTTTGCCACCGGCAAAACTTTTAAATGAACTCATTTCCTCGAACCCTTTTTCCTTGTTCCAGCATTTTTACCATTTCGACGGAGAAAAACTTTGATCAAACAATGGTTCCGTGTCATACAATGACGTTGGCTATTTCAGCAGCTGCATCCATTGCCTATTTTGCATCTTTTACAATAATATTTCATTCTTCATGGAAAATTCCGTTTTTAAAAAACGTTTATCCATAACTTGGATCGAAACTTTTCGCGCGACTTTCAGAAACAAGCAAGAAAATATATTATCAATTAATATCCATCAAATCGGAGGGAAAACAACAACAGCAGCCACGCTTTTATTTTGACGCGCTAATAAAACTGAAGGGATGTGAGACGCCAGTTGCGCAACGTAGATTGTGTATCCGTTTCACGCTTGTGGAAATTTTTCGATGAACCTCACTACAACGACTAACCCTTTCAAATGAATGTTGACGATTCAGATGCACATCTTATGAACGGCGGACGAATATTCAACCGCGACCGAGTCGGAAGAAAGAAGCGTTGAACGCATACCCGCGTCAAAATAACTTCGGATTATTAATTATTCTACCATTCAAACTTTGTATTTCAAAAGACTATAACTCGGTAAACAATACCAAAAATAGAACCGCGGAACCGAAATTGGCCTGATAATTTCGAAAAACATTCTTCACTCATATCAGATGTTGCGTCTTTTATTGTGTATTTTCTAAAATTACCGGTTTATTATTAAATTTCGTTTTGTTCTTCTAATTTTGCTCTGATTGGAAAATTGCCGTGGATCGAAATTAAAATCATGTATGATTTTAGCCGCGATCTCATTTTGCACATTTGAAGTCGCTTTTTTGTTAGTTATTGAATTGAAACGGTCAATAATGTCGGTGCTTTATCAATTAATTCGATCGCAATGAGATTCGTCAGCGGTAAAAGCGTTACTTATTGGTCGGCTTTATTTCGAATTGTGTACGTGTTTTCAAAAATGTTTCAGTAAAAAAAATCAGCTACGATCACAAAACAAATATGAGATAGTATATATTCGTTTAACAAGCGACTAACTAGCTTTCATTTGATGGCTCCTAAATTTTAATAGAAAAACATCATTTGTCCTATCTTGATATTGTGCGTTGCTTTTCTCTATCTTCCCATTCTACATCGTCTTTTATATCGAGTTCTTTTGTTCAGCATTGTTTTTCAATTTGGTGTATTGTTTTTCTATCCAAAGTTTTCTCGATTAGACCCTGGCCAAAGCGAGTCTACACCAAACGACGGTAAATAGAAGGAAGAAAAAAAGCTAATCGTGCTGCCTATTTATTGAATACGTTGTTTTTGTTTATTTTTCTCTTCGTTATCGCAAACCGATCAAAGCACCAAGCAAGAGAGAAAGAAGAAAAAAAACATGCAGCCCGTTAAACCGAGATACACACACCGATGGCGAACATGTAACTGGCAAGGCTGCTTTTTCTGTTATTCCGATATGTTTGTAGAATGCGCTTCTTCTGTTGTTCAGCTGGCTAATAACAAACAACAACAGGCTTACCAGTTTTCACATAGCACCTTGGCATAAATATGTTTTTTCTCCTTCTCTTTTCTCTTCATCGAGTCGTTTTCATTTTATTTCGTTTCAAAATATTCTATTCATTATGGATGACTTGCGATTTTCATTATTCTGCTCAGTCATCGACGTCAGTACATGCGAGAAAGCGCGTTTCAAGCCACACTCACGCAGACATGCATCGCATTCGATCGATACGAAACTCGAGAATCGTATGGAAGCTAGGAATCCGTTGCCTTCGACACGACTTTTATTCCATGTGTTGTGCTTGTGCTTGATAACGAAAATGGCTCGTTTTATGCGTCTATTGATCGCTGTTTCATTTGCAAATCGCTTGTAAAGTGGAAGATACTGCAACTGAATTCCCAATGAATTTATGCAAGAATAAATGTGGCTTTTCAAAGACTTATTCGCTAATTACTTGCCAACTTACGTCATTTCGCATGCACGCTTTTCGAATGATTGTGTCAGTTGCTTGCTTAGTTTGTTTATTTTCGACTTGTATATTCATTTGCAATTGAAATCTCCACAAATTGCGACTATTATGTGCGAACTTGATTGAATGTTGTCAGCCCAAGGTTATTCCAATGCACTCGATCAAAAGTGTGCCTATTTCGAAGTTTACTGAAAATGAACGCGTATTATTCATTTCAGATGAATAGACCGGAGCCAATTTTTAATACATTCACCCACAGTTTTGTTAAATACATTCGGTGTTTTATTCGCCTGAATAATTAGATGCGTTTCGCTCCATTCATCTCTCGGTAAAAGCGAGTGCAGACATCTGCACATCGACAACGCGTTTTTCACACCATCAAATTGCGCACAAAAAATGAATTCTATATGTAAAAAGTATCGAAATGAAACTATTCAAAAGGACAGAAAGGAACATATGCCATGTGTTTGTGTATGCAATGTAAATAAAAGTGCCAATTCATGATTTCATTATTACAGTGGTGTAGCGCAGACATTTTTTGTATTGTGTATTTGTTTTGTATGCAAGTTTTCAGATTGCAGTTTCTGAAGGTGTTTTTTGTGATGTTGTTGTTGTTTTTGACCACGTTTTGTTTGCCGTATGCAATGTTCCCAAGCGTAATTGACCTAGACTGTGAAATTAGGCATGAAATTCACATTGAGTTCTTCGTCGGTTCAAATTGTTTCTCCAGTTTTTGTTGTGATTTATTCGTTACTGATTACAGGAGATTAATGCTTGTACGCTTCGTATCTTCATCTATTTGAAAGAAGAAAAATGTTTGTTTAGTCAAAGCTTAAAAAGTCACCAAAAGTTCAGAACGAACATTTTGAACAAGCGATTGAAATATGACACCAAGACCAAGACAAGACAAAAAAAGAAATGAATGTGTATTCTTTGGAACTGAGTAACAGAGTGGATGTTTTATTGAAAGGAATTGAATAAATTTAAATTTTGCATGTGATTGAATAAAGCAAGTGATGTCATAGTTTGCCTTAAAGCAAACAAACCCAGATGACACTAGTACGAAGTGCCATTGTACTCCGAAATCACATTCATATTAGATAATTAATCTATTCGGATAATCTAAAGGAACCTGTGCCTGCCGTTTTGCTCATTCATTCATAACGGAACAATCATAAATTTTGAAGAGCGTTGACAAATCATTTCATATTTCTCATTCGAATCGTTTAAAGTAACAAGTTAATAAAAGAGGAAAATAATGAAATAATCACTTGAAATTGACCTCGCAATTCATCTAAACGTGTTTCTGGTTGATTGATTTAATTGAAATAATACCAAAATTATGATGTTTCATAACGTATTTTTTTGTCTGTTTCCTCCCATTTTATTCCCCTTACTTTTGTTTTTAGCCAAAGGTCAATATCAACTGGGCATGGAGCCAAAACGTAGTAAGTATTTTGTTTTAATTTCTATCAATTACATCATCCTTTCCTGTAGTTCACTCAATGTTTTTGTATCGTATAGTGAGAACCGCCTACACACGTCATCAGATCCTAGAATTGGAGAAAGAATTCCATTTTAATAAATATCTAACGCGGCGGCGACGCATCGAAATTGCTCATACATTAGTGTTATCGGAACGTCAAATTAAGATATGGTTTCAAAACAGGCGCATGAAATACAAGAAGGATAATAAATTACCGAATACGAAAAATGTACGCAAGAAATCTGGTGCGGATGGAAATGGCGGAGCGACGGCAAATGCGAAGAAACCAAAGCGTATCACAAAATCCAGCAAGCAATCACAACAGCAACAAGCTCCAGTCCAATCTGAGGTAAGCAATTACAATCCGTTCACTGATTGATCTGTGAGGGGAGACCATTGAGTCGTGTTGTTGTTTTGTGTTTTTTTTCTTCATTTCGCCGACTCGATGAACACATAAACATTCAATTAAAATTCAATTTACTCGTTTGTTGGGTGCACAATTTTTAAGTAGCGTAACCGAAACAAAAATCATTGTTAGATCAGGCGCACGCGCATGCCTACTGTTCTTGATTATCGATTCGAATGCTTCTGTTACGAAAAGAACCATGATTTGGCTAGAAATCATTTGAATACGTTCTCAATTTAAATCATTGTGTATTGATTGCTCCTCTTTTCTGATGATTTGTCTCATTTTTTTTTCATTTCAATTCTCATTTACCACAGTGCGTGCGATCGGATAGTTTGGAAAGTATGGCCGACATGACAACATTAGGTAATATGCCGTATATTCCAGCTGCGTCTGATGTTACCGATATGATGGCGCAAGGTCCACCGCAATCACAAATGCTGAATCATCAAACGGTAACGAACAATAATAATGGTGGCAATTTAATGGGTCTATCGATGGATGCAATGCAACAGCAATCGCCGCCGAATCATTCACATCAACAGCAAACCATCAACATTAAAACCGACTACGGACTAACGGCTTTGTAGGATTCGGACGACGGAATGCAAGCACTTCTTGATTTGTGATTCGCTTTAAACTCTTTCGCTGATCTATCTTAATTTCATCCCAGAAGAGTTTTTTTTATCGTTAAAGTCAACTAAAGAGTAACAAAAACTTCTTGCATTTCTACATTCGTTAAAGTCTTATGCATTGAACAGAAAAAATACAGTTGAAACAACACCATATAGATTAAGCACAAAAGTGTCATGTCTATAAATTCCAAGCAGACGTATTTTAGCGATACCCGTAATGTTCAAGTGAGATAGAATACGTAGACTCAACATTAGATGTGTAAATTTGTAAGCTAGCTTTAATGGCGCAATGTAAATTCTCCTAAAGAAACCTATTTAGTGTTTAGTCATAATTTTATGATTTTCTAGATTTTATTCGTTTATTTCACATTTTTTTTCCCGGTGAATTCACTTTTGATGAACGCAAAGAAAGAAAAAGAGGAATTTACAAGATTCGGGCGATACAGAGACTAGGCTTATTGGTAGATTATTTGCATCACTTTGCAATTTGTACAAAATAGTTTTTAAATTACTTTTAATTTGTTATAAAAATCATCAGAAGAAAAACATTTCATTCATATAAACTCTAGCCAGCTGATGCATTCATTTTTCCCAAAGACGTCACATTTCGTGTAAATCACACTGGGACGACTGTTTTATGTTAGACTCTATAATTGAAACCAAGACATACTTGTTTGATGTTATGCAATTTAATTTAGTTAAGCTATACAACTATCTCTCTAATGGCGATTTTCTTCAAACCAAACCGAACATCGGTGTATTTTTAGTTGATTTATTGTGAATGAGTAAATTTAGAATGGGGTGTTAATCAACATACCAAATTAAGAGAGGATTTGAAACACATTTTCGGTTTGTTTTCATTGCGCAAAATCGTGTACATTTTTATTTGTCGTAAACCTAAATTGTGTTGAACATTTTGAGGAATTCAATAATGGAATATAATTAAGTTTCTCACTGGAGAAAATAGCATTAATTTGTAATGTTTAAGTTAATTGAAATGTACATTTAATTGTGACACTTTACCGCTATGTATTATTAATTGTAAATAAGTTTCTAAATAAACATGAGACTACATTGAAATTGAATTTTTCGCATCTAGTTTTATTTTTTCATCCTCTTTCAACGTGTTTGCAATTACCGAACAGAAAAAACAATTTGTACCTGAGAGAGAAAAAAAAATGTGGTAGTATCCTGTTGACTTTTTTCCATGACATTCTTCAAAAAATTGAAATTAAAAGGAATTCCCACTGAAATGGTACCGAAAACAGTCGAGTAATTTATGCGTAAAATCTGTTGTAGTCGGCATTTGGTAAAGGGTTGTCATCTTCGACGTTCGAGCTTTGGCACGGCAATGCATGCTGTTACTTCTGAGCTGACTACAGCCTACTGCATGTAAACTGCACACTTTAAAGCGATCATCCTATTTGTGAACAATCGACTTAGACAACTTAGCCCTTTTTCGGTAGCACTGTTTGTTCTTTTTCGGAAAGCAGAATGCATCAAACCACTTCTTCAAGTCATCACCATTGGGATTTTCGGATTTTACTTTGAAATATCATTTTTTTTTTTTCATATTTTTGCAAGTTCAAAAAGAAGCATTTTCGAGAAATATCAGTAGCACTCTTGCGGACTTTGGTTTTTAGCTGCATTATGCCGAAATCAGAACTGATCAGCCTTTTTATGTTGTTTAAGCTGTGTTTTTCACTCAAGAGTGAGTATACATAAGATTAGCTATTTGAAGTATTAATTTTGAATTTGCTGCATTCTTATGCGGGATTAAAATATTCGAGGGTGTTGCAAACAGAAGGAGGAGGAGACATGTACAATGAAACGCCAAGAAATATATTCTATTTTAGTACATGAAACGTTTCTAAAATTTTCATCAAGAACATTTCATATGAAAATAATCAAAATAATTGCTGATGGATTAGATGGGCTAGACGTTGAACCCAATAGCAATGTTCGCATTGATAGAAATTGTTAATTAAACTGGAACTCATCGTTGTCCAACTTGGACCAAGTGAAGAATATATCGAAAATGAATTATTTTTGCGTAGCCAAAAAAATAACTGTTTGATAGAAGAATAAAAAAGTCTCGAAAAAAATGCCCGTCGTTTATACAAAAAAAAGAAAGATATTTATACGAACAAGAATCGGCTGAATGTTCAAAGAATCTTAGTTAAATACTTTTCAGATCTTTTGTGTAGATGTGTGTCTTATAGCAAAACGAAAATCATTAATCAAACTCAGTTGTGTATTGTGCTCGCCCGGTCTCTCGCTCACTCTCTCACTCTTCACTGCAAACCTCTCATTTTACGAACGGCGACGCTGTTATGTGTTCAGTGTTCACTCGGTAATTTTAAGTTTGGATCATGTGTATTTCGAACTGTTGTGCATTTTTCCTTTCTCTCGTCGCTCTTTTGTATTAACATTGGTGCCTTTGAAATGCGTTTCAAATCCAATTCAGATGATATCCCCGCATTTATTGCTACTTTCGAGCTGCTCGAAGTTGAACGAAAACTGTGTGATTTCTTATGAGTTTTGAGTAAAATGTGAGGGTTTACTCAGAATAAGGCGGTGAAAAGGGAATGATTTTCTCAACGAAAATTTGGAATTTCTCAACGAAAATTTGGATTTTCTCAACGAAAATTTGGAAAGAGGTCCAAGGTTTAGCAGAATTTGGTTGTAGTTTTTTCTGTGTTGAATTCTGTTTCTGTTTTAAACATTCCGGAATTTCAGTAATTCATAGATTCTAAATCTCTCCTCAGAATCATACAACTCGTATTGCAAAATAAATTGAACTCATATTGGATTCAAGAAAGCATTTCAAAAAGTTCATTAAATGTAAACCAATTTTGTAACGGCTATTGAATTTTATGCCTGACGTCTGTCATACTTTCCTTGGATGAATTAAATTTCGGTTGTATTTTCCCGTTCATCCCCATTTTTCTTCACGAGAAAGTGAAAAGTTAATCCAAGCAGACTGCATTCAATGTAGAATATTTTGTTTATCAGCTGTTTCAAAGTGCGAGGAGCTAAAAACAGATATGAATGTAATTGGTTCGGTGCTACCTTTGGCGTTTAATATAAAACACGAATGAAGTTCGAATTTCTCCGGGACGTGTATTCCTTTTTTATGTAATTTCATCACGGAATATTATAAAAGAATATTAACCCAATTTACGCACAAAGTAACGCTTTATGAATAATGATCTTTTCGCCGTAGACAGTTATTCACCTCGAAATCAAGTTTTATAAAACCCACAGTTTTCCTCTTCCTTACACGGAACGCCTTTATTTTGCTTAGAATTTATCCTTCGCTTAATTTCCGGAGCGCAATCAACCATGTTCCACCTTTCTAATATTGGGTTGGAAATACTGACGGGTCTATCAAGCGGCAGAACACTGCCGTAGTGTATTTGCACAGAATTTATTTTCTTTTTAACGAGTTTCTGAGAAAATGCTTGAATTTATACAGTACAATTTATAAAGAAACTCTTCTCTTGTCTACGTTTTTTACGGAAAATCATAATTTATTGATATAAGAGAGTTTTATTAAAATTTACACATTTTTCATTGACTGAGTTGAATCAGTTCCAAACTTTTAAATCAAACTTGAATGAAATCTAAATACCACTAGAAATTCCGTTAGTTTTTCTCCTTCAGAAAGAAATTTTGTTTCAAAGAAAAGTCATTTTATGGTCTTTTTGGTGTAAGAATTAAAAAAGATTATCATATTACAAGGAGTAGCTGGCAAGGCGTATTGTTAATCATTGCATTCTAATTTGTAGTTGTTGTAAGTGAATAACAGTAGAAAAATGATTTATCTCTTTTTAATAACTCAATATTATTACTCATTATGTATGAAAACACATATTTATGGCTTCGTTGTCCATACTGCTTCGGCACCATCTTCATTGGTTGGCTCGTTCATAAAAAGAATTATATATTAATTTCCAGTGTATTATTTCATGTCTACTGTTTTGCTTCATTTTACTCTTTTCGCCTTAATTCGTATTCCGAATGTTTTGACGGATTGAAACAAATTGGAATCAGTTCGAGCGTTTCACTACCGAACGGATTGACCACAATCAGTAAACCATGTAATTTTTTATTCAGGTTCTAGCGATATGTGTTTTTTTTCTTTTCCTTTTTTTTAAATATTCATTTATGTCAAGACGAAAAGTCTTATAAAGTATTTCTCTTTTTTCGTACGCTTCAATATTTTGGCGTGTATTATTGTTTTCGTAGTCGTCTTTCGTTAAATGATTAATAGTCTTTTGATGATAGTTTTCTGGCACTTTTTTCAATCCGTTCTTAATGAACACAAAGCGATATCGCATTCATTATGCGTGTGAGTGAACGATGAACTTCTTTTACTTTATTACAATGGACGCGTTCGTTTTTCTCTTTCTTTTCCCAATAATTCGCTCAACGTGTTTCTCTTTCTACGTTGTCAGCTGTCTGGCATTTCATTGAATAAATTACAAGTTTGATGGCCGTAACCGACCAATGAATTTTTTAAATTTAGCAAAATACCATGGCATTCTTTTATCTGTTCACTAACAAGTTTTTTTGTAGCCCTTAATAACTAATAACTATGCTTTGATTGGAATGATGGATTTCCAAAAAAAATCAACATAAACATTTTTTTTTGTCAAAATAATCGATTGAAACACCTTTTTCCAACTGTGGTTTCAGCTATAAATAAAATGAAATTTACACAAAATATGAACATCGGAATCGATCTCTTGAGATTAATATATTTCTCATCTGGAAATTCATTCGTTGCAGTCTTTCAAATTTCTTTATTATTGAGTCTTAAGATTCCGAAAAAAGGTAAACAAGAAAATTGTGTGTCATTTCGCTTTATGATGGCGCATTGTTTGTTGTCAGAATGAGTAAATAAAAACGGTAACATCAGAACGGTCCGTTCTCTGAGGATTCCATCGGATGGTTCATGCTAAGACCAGTTGCAATTCTACTTACTGAACGATGCGTTGTCTCCAAGGAATAATCTTTGGATGAATATGCACACTTTACTGACAGCTAATCAAGACTATAGTCTCGTCGCACGTCATAAGGCACAGCGTCTAAGTTGAAATCTTCATAAACATAGTGCAAAAGAGAATTGACCAACAAAGAAAGCCTAGTAGCCGACAGAAGCGTCTTTGTCGCCTTTGCGTGCCGCCATAAAACTGTCGATGCAAAAATAAAGATTCTTTTCGTCTTTTCCATATACTTTTGGTCAATAAAGCCATTTCACAAAAAAGAATTGAAACAATCTTGTTCGAACTTTCTGAATTCAAACTTGATCTCTCGAGCCAATACTTAGTCGAATCAAAACGTCTTCACATCAAATTCAAATTGTATCCACTTTCACAGTGACTATTGAGCATGGAAGGAAAAAAACTCAAACAGCAGTGAACAAATTGTTATTTCCACAAGTTTGTTTTTCGGTGCGTTGTCGAAGCCTTTCGGGAAATATTGGAATGGCAGCGAAACAAGTAAGCGACTCATTCAATTCAATACAGTCAGCATTTTCGGTATATGATTTTTTTGTCATTCGTCGTTGTCGTCGTCAGCGTCGACAAGAGAATAAAATCGCAAGACAAGCGTAAAAAACAAATGTTGTACTGCTGTGTGTATGTGTTGTAAGCGACAGCACCAACGTTACACTTCAACTATAAAACTTCTCAAACAAAATCCCGAGTAAAATTCGAGAGACGAAAAAAAACGGCAGGAAAAATAATAATATAAAGTATGTCATATTATATTGGATTTGGTTTTCAACTCAACTCTACTTCAGTGTATATTAACGTTGCTGACAGTTATAAATGATATGTCACTCGCTTTGTGTTACAGCTTTAACACAGCACAGCACAGTTTTTGATATATTTTTTTTTCTTTCTATTTCTTCTATTTTTGATCCAGCTTTTGAACGCAATGTGTGTGTGTGTGTGTGTGTTTGGTATTTTGAGTTTTTTT